AGATATATTGTTTCTTTCTGCATATATAACCTACTACAGCCATGTTGGATGAAGGCTATGTTTAGTTGAACCTCAAATTGGTCATTTTCATAAACTGCTAAAAAAATGGATTTCTCTTGGTGTTTGGGTCATTCACCAAGCAATAATACCATTAGGAGTTACTGATCCCCTGGGGGGATAGCAGCTTAATTACACAGAAATTTTAAATTGAGAAGAGTGGTATAAGTGCAGACGTAGGAACAGTCCTATCCTTGGGTGGCTTATTATTAAATTTAATACCTCAGATGGTCTTTTTTTGTTTGTGTAGATTTTAATTACTAAGTAGGTCTGGTAAAATATGAATTATGTATTATCACAAGTGATAAAATGTGTACGGTTATGAGCATTGCAATCTGCAGGTGTAACAAACATAAAGCAAGATTAATAGTATTAAGCAATTAAACTGAAGCTATCTTTAAGGGGAAAAGAAAGCCTTAATGCTACCCTTAAGTGTAAGTTAAACTTGGGCTAAATATTTTTAACTGCAATAAAAGCATGTTAATTTTAGGAGTGACTTCTTTATAAGACCTCATTTCTTCGAGTAAGTTTTCCTTTCTAAGAATACAAAAGCTTACTGAAATAATTTCTGTTGGTAACTCATTCCATAAAGAACGGAATTTTTCCTTGGCTTTTAAGCTCAATGAAGAAAGCCCAAAATAGCACAGGAAATTTGTGTGTGGTGAATATATGCATGAACTAAATCCAGTAGGGATTAAAATGATTAAATTATTGATAAGGTCATTGTTGGTCCCAAAGCTTTCCATTAGTCATACAGTACTACTTAAATATTTTGAGAATTTGGCTTTAATTTTCCTATAATCGCACATAAAATACAGGAAACTGTGTTTTGCTTTAATTTTATATCCTTGCATGTATAACAGTCTTATATAAAAGGAACATGCCAAGTATCTAATAATAAATTTTTTTCCTTATGTGTTTCTGTTTTTTTTTTTCCACTTCCTGAATTATTTTTATGTTGCCACTAACAAGATCACTGCCTGTATTTTCAATTTAGCTGCACCTTTGCCTCTCAGTAGCATGACAGGTGGCTTCACAGTGAGTTTATCAAGACCTTGGTAAACACATAGAGCGCTTAGCAAAGTGTACAGAGCTCTTTACAAAGAACTTCCTAGATCTTTCTCTCTCTTCATCTCTCTCTCTCTCTCTCTCACACACACACACACACACACACACACACACACAGAATTTGGTCCTTGCCCTGGAATTATTTAGCAGTGTACTTGGCAAGGTGAAACATTTATAAAGCAGCACATCATAGATTACACATTAAATATAAAAGTACTGAAGACTTACATTGTGTGTAGTTTCAATGATATGTTTTATTCAATGTAGATTACTAGATATTTGCAGTTCTCCCTCCTTGACAGTACTGCAGTGGAGATTGCTGCACATATGTATCTGTGGGGTCATTTTTGAAGCTAAGCTAACAAAACCCCAAGCAGCAGGAAAGTTGCATGAGTTTGAACAGTAACTGGGGGTTTTGTTGTAGAAATAATAGGAAATATATAATTTCTTTAAAACGAGGGGGCTATTTTTTTTCTTTCTTCTCTTTTTTTTTCTTTTTTTCTTTCTCCCTTCCTTCCTCCCTCCCTTTATCCCTCTCTCCCTCTTTCTTCCTTCTTCCCTCCCTCCCTCCTTTTTTCTTTCTTTCTTTCTTTCTTTCTTTCTTTCTTTCTTTCCTTC